AGTTACCAAGACTTTTGTCATAACTTGAACCAAGGAGGTAAATGTTAAAAATATGGAAATTTTCCAAGCCCTATTGTTGTAAATATATATTTAGTTGTTCTGCAAACCTGTGTCCTACATTTGACATGCCTATATCATGTTGTATCTGTATCCTGTTTATATATCTGTGTTTCTTAATAATTATTCAAAATTGCTCCAAAGTAAGAAGATGTTTCTTCCAAATTAAATAGACACAGAAATGAACTGAATATGTCCAGCTCAATAATCCATAACTCTTATGAAAATTTCTTGTATAAGCTTCAGAATTAAATATTCAACTTAGCAATGACACACAAGGCCATAGAAAAACATACCACTTCCGCACCATAGACGGCTATTAGACCAGCTATGTTGTATGGGACGGAGTGTTGGGCAACTAAGAAACAACATGTAGATAAGAGATCGGCCGCTGAGATGAGGATGCTAAGGTGGATGTGTGGTAAGACTAGACATGACAGGATTAGGAATGAGTGTATTCGGGAATGGGTAGGAGTAGCACCGATAGAAGATAAGTTGAGAGAGAATCGTTTGAGATGGTTTGGTCATATTCAACGGAGACCAACAGAGGCAGTAGTGAAGAGATGCGATGCTGTAACGGTAGATGGAAGTGTTAGGGGACGGGGTAGGCCTAGATTAACGTTGACTAGCGTTATAAATAGAGATATGAATCTACTTAATTTGACTAATGAAATGGCTTTTGATAGGGCCGCGTGGAGAAGAAGGATTCATGTAGCCGACCCCATTTGATGGGACTTAAGGCTTCGTTTGGTTTGGTTTGGTATAAGAAAAGGAGCGGATAACTAGCTGCCACAGTGGAAAAAACATATAAATTAACTACTAAAGTATAGAACTTACAGTTTTTTCTTTTAATACGCTGAAGGCATCCTTGTGATCCCACACTCTACTGCGTCTTCCAAGTTCCTTTGGTGATTCTTGGCGAATAATTTCCCTACCCATTTCTCTGAGCAATTGATGCATCATAAGCTTCTTGTAAACTTCATATACAAGACATCTACGCATGAGATTTTGAACCCCAACTTCTGTGTAGAAATCACATCCATCTAGTATTGTAACCATGTAATCTTTGTCCTCTCCAACAAAGAAACAAACAATATCAAGGAATAAATCTTTGTCATGATCGTCTAAACAGTCATAGCTTACTTGAAGTACGTTGTGGATTTTGACATCAGAAAATGTTCTCAATTTTGCTAATGCACTTTTCCATACATCAACACTTTCACCAGATAGAGAACAACCTAAGACCTCAAGAGCTAATGGAAGACCATTGCAATAGGATACTATCCTTATTGACTGCTGCATGTAAGCTTCAACGGGATGGTCTTGTCCAAAGGCATGTCGACAGAAGAGACAAAGCGCCTCAGTGTCTTTCAATTTTGTAACCTTGTATATTTCACACGCTTCATGAGCCTTTAGCATTCGATCATGTCTGGTTGTTATGATAATTTTACTTCCTGGATGAAACCAGTCTCGCATGCCAAATATTGCATTTAGTTGGTCCAATTGATCTACATCATCAAGAACAACAAGAACTCTTTTACAGCACATAGCATGTTTGATCTTAATGATTCCCTCATCAACGTTGTGTAGTTTTTCCTTTTTCCGCTTGACAATATCTGAAACAAGTTGTTTTTGCAGACGAACCAAACCTCTGGGTTGTTTTGAAGTGTCTCTAATATTTGCGAGAAAACTGCTGCCATCAAATCTTTCAAAGTTTTGGTTATAAGCAGTTTTTGCAATGGTTGTCTTACCTATTCCACCCATCCCATAAATCACCATTATGCCAATATTGCTTGACCCATCTTGCAGCCACAGGTTAATGTCTTTTACACGAGAATCTATTCCAGTTGGGTACGGGGTAACACTCAAAACTGTGCGATCCATTTTATTTGCAATCTCTTCAACAATTATCTTGATAAACTTTGACTCATACCTGCAAATTGTGTTGGCGGAAAAAAAGCCAAAGAAAGTATGTAATGAACAAAGCTTTAAGAGGTCGTATTGACACCTCAAAGTGAGGGTAATAAAAAATGCATCAGGGCTTTGATTTTTGGGTAACACTCCCTAAAAGCTTGTGCATCACAATTTGAGATGTGCGCCTCATGTGCGTGTTGTATGCCTCTTACGCATAAGCATATGAGGAGTATGGATATGGAGAGCTTGTTTTGGGTAGTTGTTAAATTTAGTCTAATACATGATTCTTTATTTTTTTTAATATATAAAAAATGAGGATAAATTACAAATACACCCCCTGAGGTTTGATTAAAATACAAATTGTCCCCTGTAATTTTAAAAATTACATTCCACCCCCCTGAGATTTCTAATTTCATAACAAATCGCCCCTTTAATTAATAAATCATCAAATCAATTAACAGTTTTTAATGGTATTAGAAATATGTTTCAATTAACAATTTAGGTAATTTTATTATTGTATACGAGAGCAATTATGAATTTTATTTTTTTAATCAATTCTGTTAAAAAAAAATTTTAACAAGGGGGTATTTGTAATTTTTCAAACCACGGGGGACAATTTGTACTTTAAGCGAACCTTAGGGGGTGCATCTGTAATTTACCCAAAAAATTAAAATAAAATAAAATAAAATAAGAACTTTTTTTTTTTTTTTTTGTAACTACATTCAATGGGGAAATCAAGTAGATTCTTTTTTTTTTTTTTTTGATATATAAATAAACCACTTTATTAGAATAGCATCAAGATGATGCAAAAGAATACAAGAAGAAACCCCAATAGGGAAATCAAGTAGATTATTTCCAACCAAGGATTTGATTCCTTGGTTTCATGTTTCCATTGAGTCCAATATATACATTGAGTGTGAATGAGACACGTTGTGAGAAGAGTGGATTTGTTAAATAACAACTATTCAGGCATAATTTCAAATCCTTGTATTTTGGTAATCAAATTCATGTGCAGATTTGGCTGGCCTAAAAATATATATGCTGCGTGGTCATCTAAACAAGGCTTGAGGATTTTAGGCCCAGATTTCCAATCTTCTTCATTTGAAATCCTTATATCCAAATGGAGCCTAAATGTCTTCGTCTTTGTGTATTTCAAAGCAAGTATTAATGCTCTATTTGGTTCACTGGAATGACTTGGAATCGAATGAAATCATCATTCCTTAGGCCCTCTTATGGAATGACCATTTCCTTAAAATGATGAATGATGATTTCATATGTAATATATTTTGTCATTATTACTTTAGTCAACCAAACATGAGAATGAACATTTTGATGGAACAATCATTCCATTCCGCTTTATTCTAGTGAACCAAACACTATCTAAGAGTACATATGGAATGGAAAAAGATTAGTAGAAGCACCCCAGCAGTAGTAGATGCATTTTGTTCCGTTAAACACATTATGAAGAGTGGTAAAGTCCCTTAGTTATGGTATGTGAATTACGGCACCTAGAGAGAGGTATTGTATAGAGAACTGTTGGTACAGATTGAATTTATTGATTCGGAACAAGTAAAATTATGTCTTAATTTGACTAATGATATAGCATTAGATAGAGTCGAATAGAAAAGAAGGATCATGTAGTCGACCCCATTTGATGGGAGTTAAGGTTTGGTTTGGTTTATAACAAGTAAAATTATGTAAACAAAATTGATGTAACAGAATTTTCACACACTATGATATGGCTCATTTTGAAGTAAAAAAATAAACAAATAATAATAAAAACAACAAGAAAAAAAAAAACCATACTTTTTTAGTCATGATTCTATGAAATAAAAAATTTATAAAAAAAAAAAAAAAAAAACCCAAGTTAAGGAATTTATGAAGAAGAAATTACCCATCAGCTTGATTCTGTAACACCAACCCTGCCAGATCTGCAACTTCTCTAAGTGCTTCCCTCCACTCTTCAATCTTCCCAAACTCACAATCCTCAAATTGAGCTTTGTGTCTCTCAAATGCCTCTCCAACAACCCCACTTTGCTTCCTAACTTGTGATGGATCCAAATCATAGAAAACTGGCAAAACCACATATTTAGACCCTCTCTTGCGTTCGAGAATCATCACAAGTTCATCAAGACACGATCTCGAACAAACATAATCTTTCGAGAAGACGATTATGGAGCTCCTAGATTCTTCAATTGCTCTCTCAAACACTAACTTAACATCTTCATCTCTCTCAATTTCATCATCATTTTCAACCCTAAAAGTTTGAAAACCAGCACCGACTAGAGCTGTGTAGAGGTGATCGGAAAAGGTCCAGCGGGTGTCAGAAGCTCGACTCAAGAGGACATGGTGAGCAAAGCGAGACCTAGAAGAAGTGGCTTCTTGAGATCTTAGAGAAGCCATTAATGAACAAAGCTTTGAAGTGTAATTGGAAACATATACTTAAAAAGATCGCTTGTCTGTGCAAATTTGAACTGTAAATAAACTCCAAACTGAAAGAATATAAATATCAGACCCAGTTCGAATCGCCACTCTCAGGGAAATGATAGAAATGATAGAGAGCTCTAAATATAGAGGTCTAATTTGAGTTTTAATGATGTGTCAAAGTTAAAAAAAAAATAAAAAATAAAACAAAACAAGACAAGGCATAAATATCACATCAGGGTAGGATCCACCTTTCCATTAGAACTATTAGATTTCTTATATTAGAGTTCTAAAGTATTTTTGGCCACTCTAATTAGCAAATGAAAAAACCTATGAGCAGTTTTGTATTTTGAATTTTTAGGGTTTGTATAATGAATAAAGTTTATAATTTTAAAATAATAATATTATATATTAATTGGTATATGTAATATATGTTTTTTAAACTTATTCGAGGGTGTTATGTCTGAAAAATGATTGATTGCTTTAAGATGTTAAATAGTCCTAACTTTTTCTTTGGGGTTGTTAAAAAAAATTAAAAAGTTATAAAAAAAGTAAAAAGGTTATCAACTTTATACTGTTTTTTGGAAATTAAAGTAAAAGAGTTAATACTGTTTTAATACAAACCACCTCTATATTATTTTAACACAAACCAACTTTAAAGTAAAAAAAAGCAAAAAAAGTTATCAACTTTATAATATTCACAAATTAAAAATATAAAAAAAAAATTAATATACATTATATTTTAATACAAACCAATTTTATACTATTTTCCAGACTGAATTGATGGCTTTAGTGCCGTGAAAGGAAAAAAAAAAATTACATATATATATTTAATAAGTTGGACGGTAATATTGGACCTATAGAGGCCCACTATGAGTCCCATTTTGATAATCCGAATCGTTCAATCTGTAGAACTCGTCCAATACTATGTCTGTAAAAAAATCACGTTGATTGGATATCGCTAACTACATGATCAAATTAGTTTTGTATAAAAAATAGATGGTGCTTAGTTAACGATTGACAAAAAAAACTAATCCGATCAGATAGCTATAGATATCCGATCAACGTGATTTTTTACAAACATATAATACTCGACGAGTTGTACATATTGACGGTTCCGATTAGCAAAACGGGACCCGTGGTGGCCCGTACTGGCCAAAGAGCACTGTCCAAATGGTTGCCTAAAAAGGAGGCAGCCATTTCTTATTACACCAATCAGAAAACCATGCTGCCACCGTAGAGTCAAAAAGTCAAAATTTTTCCTACACATTAATTTATACAATTTTTTAATACACATTTTCGTAAAAAGTCAAAAAATTAACCCAAGCATTCAATTTTTTTTCTCAACTTTCTAGTTTAAAAAGTCAAAAAATATACTTATTTAAGACACCCCAAATAACCTCTAATAATAATTTATCATATCTCTAATATTATTCTAATATTATTCAATCACTAAGGGAAGACACGAAAACCGGAAAGTCAAAAGTATGATATATCTCTAGCATTTTTTGATTTTTTTTTTAACTTGCCAAACTTGGCCTTAATATATGATACACAATGGATTATTATATGCATTATGTTATATATTTTTTTAGAATTTTGGTAATTTATGATTCAAATTAAAATTATACATTTTGTGATAATATTACATATGTTTGTGATAATATTATATATTTTTTATCTAAATATTTGCAAACTAAAAAGTGAATAGCATTACTATAAAATAAAATGTGTAATTTCATTTTTAAATGACAAATTATAGTCATTCTACCAAAATAAAATAATATAACGTTTGTCACAAAAATGCATAACAATGGTACATATGGTAAAATTTCTCCTCTTCAAATTTTTCTTTTTCTCAAATTTGATGAAAAAAAAATATTTCCGTTGTTTCATCTTTTAAAATTTTTATCAAATTCAAATTTGATGAAGGATTTGATAAGTATTCAATTTGACAAAAAAATTACCAAATATAAATTTGATGAAAAATGTTTAAAAATCATCTCCAATCCTTTTATCAAATGTTCATCAAAATCAAGAAGAGTCATTTTTTTTTTATCAAATTGAAAACTTATCAAATTCTTCATTAAACTTGAATTTGTTGAAAATTTAAAAAAACGGAAGCATTGGAGACTTTAAAAAAAAAATCATTAAATTTGATAAAAAGTGAAATTTGCAATAAGATGAGAATTTTTGGGAAAAAAAGAAGAAGAAAACACTGATAAAAATTTAATGAAATGATTAGAGTAGTTCATATCAAATCAAACATTTTACTTAAATTTAAAATTAAATTAGATTAAAAATTAGTAAAGAGTTTGAAATGGTCAACACTTTTGTACTCCACCTGTCACCTTAGCACAAAATAATCCCACATATAGAGAGCGTCGGACTATTAGTCTCGGGAATCTCATATTTTGATCCCTCCAAATAAACACCCCTACCAGGTCAAGAGCATGAAATGGGAGGACTGCAAGTTACTAGAGTAGGGCTAGCAATTTTGGTTCGCCCAACCCAAATGAATTTTTCAAACCTGAAGAGGATTGAGGCAGAGAATTAGATCTGACCCAAACATAGTTCAAGAAAGTCAGCCTGGTGTTGGAGAAGTTATTGGGTTACTTTGGAATGCCTCAATTCATTACGTGGCACAAACATGACTGAAACAAAGTTTTATCTTGTAGTGCATACAGATTCGTTAAAGGTTTATTTAAAATTAACTCAACAACACTACAAAAATTTGAGTATTTGCGGCGGCATTTTTTGCGACGGTAAAATGCTGTTGCAAATACTCAAAATGCAATCTCAAAAGTTTTTTACGAAGGCAGATGACTTTTAGCGACGGCAAGTGAGGGGTTGCAACAAAGAGGGTCGCAAAAAAGTTTTAGCGACAGCACGTTGTCGTCGCCTTTTTTTTGCGACGGCAAAATTACCTTCTTGCGACGGCATTTTTCCGTCGCCATTAATACGAAAAAACCGAAGATTTTTTGAGACAGCACTATGTTGCTGTCGCTAAAGGTGTTATTTGCGACGGCTAAAAACGCCGTCGCAAAAAAAATATTTGAGACAACATGATTCGCCGTCGCTAAAAGATTATTTGTGACGGCAAAAAGTACCGTTGCAAAAAACTTTTGTCTCAATCTGCCAATATCATTTGCGATGGCAATGTGGTGCCGTCTAAAAAAAAAAATGCAATAAAATTATTAAAAATATGAAAATTACCTGTATTAAATGAAAAATAATTGAAAAAGAAACCAATAATTACATAATAATATAAAAATTCCAGTATAAAAATAACAATTCATCCATAATGCAAATATTCTTACATTCATTCATTACAACACATTAGCAAAATTATCCCACTACGTAATATGCACAATACATACACAATGTTTAAATACATAATATTGTTCACAATTCAAAATAACGTAAATCAAAAACAAAAGTTTCCCTCATAATTCTTCAGTGGATAACAAAAACAAAAGTAAATCGCAATCTTCACACGCCTGTATTTCACAAGAAGCAAACTACTCTCGGGAAATATCTGAAAACAGAAAATAAAAATAATTAATGACAATATAATTATGTGTTAATATTTTAATTACAAAAAAACATAAAAAATTAACTACTATATAATTACAAAGATAATTAAGTAAATAATTTTGGCTAGACGGAAATCCGACTCTAACTCCCAAACCGGGAACCCGATTGGAGTCCCGTCTTCTCCCACAAGTCTCTCGTGCCTAGGCGGTCGTGTGTGCCAAGTTTTGTGCTAAACTGACGCCGTTTGGAGATTTTGGGGCGTCAACCCCTCAAATTCAAATTTCTTAATGAACTAGTTTGCGTAGAGTGAAATCTGGCTCTAACTCCCAAATCGGGAACCCGATTGGAGTCCCATCTTCTCCCACAAGTCTCTCGTGTCTAAACGGTCGTGTGTGCCAAGTTTCGTGCTAAACCGATGCCATTTGGTGATTTTGGGGCGTCAAAACATCGAATTCAAGTTTCTTAAGGAACTGGTTTGCCTAGAGTAATATCCGACTCTAACTCCAAAACCGGGAACCCAATTGGAGTCTCGTCTTCTTCCACAAGTCTCTCGAGCCTAGGCGGTCGTGTGTGCCAAGTTTCGTGCTAAACCGACGCCGTTTGGTGATTTTGGGGAGTCAACACCTCAAATTTAAATTTCTTAAGGAACTAGTTTGCCTATAATGAAATCCGGCTCTAACTCCCAAATCGGGAAACCGATTGGAGTCCCGTCTTCTCCCACAAGTCTCTCATGCCCAGGCGGTCGTGTGTGCCATGTTTCGTGCTAAACCGACGCCGTTTGGTGATTTTGGAGAGTTAACACCTCCAATTTAAGTTTCTTAAGGAACTAGTTTGCCTATAATGAATCCAGCCCTAACTCCCAAATCGGGAAACCGATTGGAGTCCCTGTTTCTCCCACAAGTCTCTCGTGCCTATGCGGTCGTGTATGCCAAGTTTCGTGCTAAACCGACGCCGTTTGGTGATTTTGGGGCGTCAACACCTCGAATTCAAATTTCTTAAAAAACTAGTTTGTCTAGAGTGATATCCGACTCTAACTCCCAAACCGAGAACCCAATTGGAGTCCCGTTTTCTCCCACAAGTCTCTCGTACCTAGACGGTCATGTGTGTCAAGTTTCGTGCTAAACCGACGCCATTTGGTGATTTTGGGGCGTCAACACCTCAAATTCAAGTTTCTTAGGGAACTAGTTTGCCTAGACTAAAATTCGGCTCTAACTCCCAAATCAAGAATCCAATTGGAGTCCCGTCTTCTCCCACAAGTCTCTCGTGCCTAGGCGGTCGTGTGTGCCAAGTTTCGTGATAAACCAACGCCGTTTGATGATTTTGGGACGTCAACACCTCCAATTCAAGTTTCTTAAGAAACTAGTTTACTTATAGTGAAATTCGGCTCTAACTCCCAAACTGGGAACCCGATTGGAATCTCGTCTTCTTCCACAAGTCTCTCGTGCTTAGGCGGTCGTGTGTACCAAATTTCGTGCTAAATCTATGCCGTTTGGTGATTTTGGGATATCAACGCCTCCAATTCAAATTTCTTAAGGAACTAGTTTGCCTAGACCGAAATTCGGCTCTAA